CGGCTGCAGCCCCTCCTGCAGCTCAGGGAGCCAGGCAAAGGCTGGAGGGGGGCGCAGGTCCTGCCCATGGGGTAAAGAGGGGCTGGGAGCTTGGGCTGCTGATTGCTGTGGGGTGGGAAGGAGGTCCTGAGGACACCAATGTCACCTCCATCTCATGACTACCCCTGTCCCATGGTGTTTGCAGGTTGCTCTGCCCCTGTCCTGGGCTTAGGGGGCTCAGCTGGGGCCCCTTTGGTGGCCGTGCTGACACCCAGATCCTGCTGGCCACGCTGGGCCCTGCTCCCTGCTGCGCTCTGGCCTCTGGCCCTGGCTCGAACCCATCCCACAGCTCAGCTCCAAAAGTCCCCGGGATGTGATTCCATCTCCACCTGGCAGGGTTTAGGCAAAACCCCCCCAAAATGAGCTTGTTTCGGGCCAGGCCAGGGGAAGGAACAGATCTGGAGAGAGGAGGAGGAAAGGATGGGCCACAACCAGGCTGGGGACAGGACCCCGCAGCTCTGTTAGCACAAACCCTCTGCGTTTTCCACGCTGTTTTCAGCCCATCACGGATGAAACATTGCTCTGTGTTTTACTGAGCAGTAAAACTTTTACTTTTTTTACTTTTTTGTAGCCTTTTTTTACTGACCAACCTTGTGGCCCATACCGAGAGCCGTCTGCGGGGCCGGGGCACACAGCGGGGTCCGGCTCTGCCATGGGAGAGGAGCAGGGCTGGAGGGGCCGTGGTCGAGCGCTTTGCTCTGTCGAGGAGGGGTCGTGCAGTGACGCTGTCTCTCCCCGCTTCAGATCACCATCTACGAGCTGGAGAACTTCCAGGGGAAGAGGTGCGAGCTGACGGAGGAGCTGCCCAACATCGCCGAGAAAGACCTGGAGAAGGTGGGCTCCATCCAGGTGGAGTCGGGCCCGTAAGTTTGGGGTGCGGAGGACAGACGAGCCCTGGGGAAGGGGGGATATGGAGAGCGTCCCCGTGGTGCTGGGGTGCTCCCCTGTGCCACCCCTGACCCCTCGGTCCCGCAGGTGGCTGGGTTTTGAGCGGCAAGCCTACGCCGGGGAGCAGTTTGTGCTGGAGAAGGGCGATTACCCCCGCTGGGACTCCTGGTCCA